TTAATGGTTGAATTTTTTTTTTTAAACTTATAAATGTTCAAAAACTTATATGGAAAAAAAAAATACAACGTCGAGGAAATAAAAAAAAAAATTGTGAGAAATAAAATGATAATTTAATATATAGGTAAATTGCACTTAGTTCTCTTAAGGTTATGAATAATATTTAAAGGGTATTATGGTCATTTGCACAACCAAGTTAACACCGTTTGAGCTAAACTAAAGGGAGGAGGAAATCTGGACAATATCAAAAAAAGTAAAGGAAGTTTCTATAATTATTGAAATCACATGGGAGGTCCCTGTAATTGTCAGAAATTTTAGGAGAGGTAAATGTAATTTACCCTTTTTTTTTTTATCAAAATCACATGACATATTGGGTCTATTTGTTGCAGCTTTAATGGATTGACTATAATTATTTTAATTTGAAAGTTTTTGTCGGATTATTTGATATAGTTTGTGGTTAAATAAATTGGAAAAAATTAATAATTATCTAAAAATTGAAGGGGTAATTCTTTCATTTTTGCTTTATAATTATTAATTTTTAAATTATAATAAATTTCACCAAACAAGCACTATAGGGTACTTAGTGCTTGGGCCGGAAGTAAAATTTTGGAAGCAATTACTCCAAACTTTATTTATTTACTTAGTTTTTGGTCCATAACGACAACAACAATTTGGAAGACCAAATACCCTACCTATCAATTTATTTGTCCACTTGTCTGGCACTAGTAACTTTTTCGGCAAGTTGTCAAGAATGATTGATAGTAATGTAGTAATGTGTGAGAAGGGGAAAAAGTAGAAATAAAAAAGGAATAAGGGAAAAAAAAAAATTAAAAAGTTTGTTAAAACAATAATTTGTGCTTCCCACTTAGGGGTATAAATAGTTTGATATGAATGGTGTTAAGAATAAGTTTAGCACCAAATTGATTAGTTTGATTTTCATGGCTGAGAAACCAATTCGGACCGTATATTATGTTTGATTTTATTGATTTTGCTGGTTTGGGGTAGAAGAAGGATTTGCTTGAATTGTTAAAGAGTTTTATAAAACTTGTAGAAGCTTACATTAAAAATAAATAAAAAAATGTATTAAAATTGCTCTATAAATGTTTCTCTCCCTAATTTTATCCAAAAAAGTGTATTATATTAGTCATTTATCATATAATTTTCAAAGAATTAAATTATAAAAATATTTTAATATAATATTTAGTCGGTTCGATTTGCATTGATAAAAAAAAAGTTTAAAAACCAAAGCAGGCCACATGTTATGAAAACCATACCGAAAAATAAAATTTGGGTTAATTTCGATTCGTCGGTCCAGTTCCATCGATTTTTTCTACGGACCTATTCTCACCAATTTATTTAATTAACAATATCCTTATATTCAAACCAAATCAATCATTGGATCTTATGTCATATACTCTTGGACAAATATTTTCCCCCAATTAACCCTTAATACAAACCTTTTTATTCAAATATATATAGACATTAACCAAGGAGGCTAGCCCATTTAGCCACAACTCATGATTATGTGTTATATTTAATATTCATTATTGTGACAGTAAGTCAAGAGTTCTCTTTGGTTTGAACTTTTTTTGTATTAATTATGTGGTACAACATATATATGAATCAAAAAAATAAACTTAAAATAGATTTTGACAGCTTTTATTTCTTTTTATCAATCAATAAGAGAGATTAATTACAAATATATGAACCATTATAATCACTACAAGAAGTTTGGTCTTTCGATGACGAATTTTTTTTGTCTCCGAAGAGCTAATTTCGTCACTATAGATATTTGTGAGGAAATATTTTCGTCACCAGCTTCGTCATTGAATGTTTGTCACTAAAAAGTATCGTGACGAAAAATAATTTCGTCACCAATGAAATTACTTCAGTGACGAAACTTTTTGTCACTAATAAAACAACATTTTGTCACCAAAAGTCCTCATTTTCGTCACCAAATAGTTGTTCAGTACCACATTTATAACTTTAGTTGACGAATAAATTTGTCACACATGTTGATCATTGATGAAGAAATAATTTCGTCACAGTAAGATGTAAAGCTGACGAAATTTTTTGTCTCCAAAAGTCAAACATGGGTGACAAAATATATTTCGTGGCAAAAATATGTATACATGACGAGATGTTTAGTCACCAAACAACAAAATCAATAAAAACTTTCATATATAAGCTGCAATAAATTTTGTCACAAAAAATATTTATTAGCGACGAATAATCACTGTCATAAAACAAGTACAAATGACGAAAAAATTCGTCACTAAACTTGTCCCATATTTTATATTTCAATTAAAATTATTATTTCACAAATATTCCTGCTCATATCCCAATTGCCTTTTAAATGTACTAAAAAATCCACCAGCTATTATACGCAGTCCACACAACAAATTCACTAAACAATTTATATTATAAATCAAAATATATCCATGAAATAAATTTAATAATAATCCATTAAGTATAACAAAAAAAAACTATCATAGCAATTCCTAAATTGAACTAACGTGGAGTCCGCACAAAAAATCAACTCTAGATCTTGATTTACAATTAGAACTAAATATCTGTTCAGGAAAAAAAAAACAAAAAATCAACTCTAGATCTTGATTTACAACTAGAACTAAATATCAGTTCAGGAAAAAAAAAATTCAACACTTAATCTTGATTTGCAAGTACGCTTCCAAATGTCATCAAAAACTAATCTGCAAAGAAAATAAACAAGGAAAACATTAATATATTAGCAATTACATCTAAACTCATATTTAAATAATTTATTTTATAAACCAATTTAGTAGAAATGCATATAACAATCCAAAACTTCAAAGAGTTGAAGTGATCCTTGATGATAAACAACATGGATAACAAATTTGATAACAAAAGATTGCAGGAATAAAAGCAAACTTCATGTTAGGAACAAGGGACAAGAAGGCAATTACTAACAATTAACAACAGAGGACTTAAATTAGTACTGAAAAAAATCACTATAAATAAATTAATTCTTCGGGGCAATAGCTGTGTAGGTGTTATATGAGAGGAGGGAGAGGACTGATATAAGACAGACTATGGGACAAGAAAAAAAAAAAAAAAACTAGAGAGACAAAGTTATAAAGGATGTGGTAGTGATGTCATAGACAAGGAAATTTGACAAAAAAATAAGGGTAATATTGATTTGGTGGTTTGATTATGTGACTTTGATTTCAATTATCTTGCAAGACTTGTGGTCATTTGTTGTTGCTTTACAGATTTGGTGGTTTGATTATGTGGCTTTGATTTCCCTCGATATGCACTTAATTAATTTCCCATGGCTCACTACTAAAAAAAGCACTTTTTGTGACCGCTACAACCTGTCGCAAATAATGAAAAAACAGTCGCAAAAGACTTTTTGTGACGGCAAAGTAATGGTTGCAAATTATTTGCGACTGTCTAAACTACTTATGGCGATAGCTATTTTGCCGTCGCAAAAAATAAAGAAAAATGCTAACATATTTTTTGGCGACCATCTTGTTACCATCGCCAACTATATATATATATATATATATAACACTAAGCACTCAAAATTGATCCTCATATCTGCTGCACAATATTAGAACTCATGTATGGTAGTGATTTTAAATCAAACACAGTATTCAAGGTTTAATCAATTCGGACTAGTTTTGTTTTGCTACAATTCTTTCCTGGCTCCAACACAACTCTCATAAGTGACAGATGATGTTTTATTATCACATGAGTAAAAGAGAGAACAGATAAAATATTTATTATCTTAAAAATACTATCAAATGAAACACAAGTACAGTTTAATGCATGTTCACAATTGAACATGGCAGCAAACATTTAGGAGCTGATCTTCTGAGTAGCTAGTATGCCACTCACAGGTCTTGCTCCATTGCTTAAACCCAGAAATGGTACATTTAGCAGTGTAGATTGTTGTGGCAGCCAAGAAAGATGGTGGGAATTTGAGTATCTCATACTCCATGAGGCATAGGTCGATCAAGAAGATCGATAGGAGTCCAAGTTGTAGCAAGGTGCACATTGGAATTACAATTTCTCATTTAGGCTGACTATGATATGAAAAAATAAAAACTAAATAACACAACATATGGACCGAAATTGAGATTATCTGCTTACTTTCCTATCAGATTGAGCAGCCTTAAGGTATCTGATCAAGAAGACACATGGGACTGAAATTGACATGTTGAACTGTAGTGTATTGAGCATCAATCTCTCCTGCATGGATGTGAACCCAAACATGTTTCATGTTAAAACAGAGTCTGTCAAACATTTAAGTGAAGCTTCAACTCTTACATTTTCAATTCAAACTACTTTCAATCGTTCAATAGGCAGCCAAAAAGAATTTATTTGTATTTTACTTTATTTTCTTGTCTTCGAGCTTTCTTGAGAACGGTTAGCATTTTAAGAAAATAATGATGAAATCTTTATAGAGAGGAGAAACCAAAACAGAAACAACAGATAGAGAAATATGTTTTAGTGGGAGAAAAAATTAATAATAATAGCACACAACAGTCTATCAGAGTTTATCTTAGGATCTACATTAAGGCAGCCATTTAATAAAAATAGTGTCTTCCATTGAAACCTTTAACAAATAAAGATAATATCATCTAACTCAAATAAAGATAAGGAAAGAGAAACAAATGATGGAGGAAAAGCCCTCCAATAGTCCATTATAGTAATCTTCGGACCTACTTAAAGGAAACCATAGATAAAAGTAATGTATTTCATTGAAACTGTGGTACATAAGGACAATGCCATGTAACTCAAATTTGTAATTATTTAAAACCCTTCATATGTTAAATTCCAAAGAAAGTTCCCTTGCCTGCACTATTTCTCTCACAACACATACTTGGCCACCACTACATGATAAATTACAATTGATGGGCTGAGGATACAATTAGAAAACTGGGAAAAAATGTGGACACTCTGCAACAAAAATGTGTAAGCCACAACAAAAAAGAAAAAACAAAAGAAAAAAATGTGTATACATCAGAAGGATCTATCAGAATCTGGAATTGCATGACAGTTACGCAAGCTCGTTAGACGAATATCTATGTGGATCTTAGACAAAAAGATGGGTTGGGTATTCATGCTCATATCCATTATAGTCATAATATAGCCTCTCCCCCTTGGCAATATCACAAGTCGCAACCAAAGGGACCTGACATTCACCATTTACATTGTACCTCACCCATTTAAGATTCTGCTTCTTCCTACCCTTCCTGCACAAAATTGGACAGGTTTCAAGAACAACAGGTTTAATATTCTCAATTTTTAAATTTATTTTGATGTCGATAAAAACAAAGAATTTTGTTCTGTGGCTTCACTGGAAGAAATGGAGTACAGACATTAGAGTCGATGAAATGGATAAAGTCACCATCAAAATAAAAGCAGGGAAGCATTTTTTGAGTCTAGAATCTAGACAGCATGAGAGAGGATACACAAGCTTACAAAGTATGATTGTTAACGCCATTAATAAAGCGAGCAATGTTTCTACGTTTATCAGGACAGATAAGAAGGTTGTTAAATGGGTCGTTTGCTAGAAGAAGGGTCATCATACTATCACAATCATCATGTTTCCGATTTGTAATGTAATCCACATCACCAGTATAATCTGTAATTAATGTCATATCCTTTATAAGCCCATCAGCCTCTACAGTAAAACTGCATTACAAACAAATAGCAACAAAATTTATTCAATATGAATTAGAATTACCATATAAAAATTTGATAACACAGCAGTAGTTCAAGAATTTAATGGTGCATCCAAACATTTCATGGCTTTTGGGGTGGTATGAGATTTTGTGTCAGAACAGATTTCACCAAAGTCCATAATTTGGACTACTTTCAACTAAGGCTGCAAATTAACCGAACAAATGCTTTTGGTCAGCTCATAAGTTGGTTTGTTCACTCAGCAGACAACCCAAACTTGAGAACTATCTTTAAGCTAGCTTCATTAATAACATGTGTCCAATTTTATAGTGTTATTATATATACATACAATTGGTTACATCATTTTCTATATTTTGCACTTAATCTTAACCATTCTCGATTCAATTCAATTTACGATTCACCAAATTAGGATTTCAATTCATGATACAATTTTCAATTTCACAACTATGTGTGTGAACAATAATACATGTTGAAGAAGTTTAGTTGATGTACTAACTCAACATTATTCATCTAGGTGGAAAAATCTGAAGCACTACTCATAACAAGTGAACCAAAAAGAAGTACATCAAACATAAGAATATAAAACAGGAACCAACAACAAAATCTATAATAAAAACAAAATAAATAATAAAATTTATAATACGGATCATAAAAACCATATACAATTCACAAACAAAACCCATATCCCACAATCCAAATCGAACCAAATTTGAGAAAAATCAAAAGCAATTGAGAAGAAAGAGAAAAGCGTTTACCAAGTGATGAGGCTTCTCAAAACTTCGAGTCTAAGAGACCAATCTGATGTGAAATGAAAAAAGCCCTAGGCGGAGATGATTAGGAGATACAGAGTCAGAATTGGGAGATTTGGGAACGATGATTGATCGAGGTTTGTCTGCGAAAATTCGATTTTCCAAAGAGGGGAATTAGATTTTCCGATTGGGAAAAGGAACTGGATTTGGATTTGGATTTGGATTTGGTTTATTATATATATATATATATATATATGTAGTCTTCTCGATGAAGATTTCAAGTTCTTCCCTTCAGCGAGATGATCGTGTTTGGAGAAGAAGAAAGAATATCTAGAAAATTCAATCAAAAGGTTTAGGGGGAATTAGTAAGGTCTTTTTTTTATTATTATTATCAATATCTCAAAGTTCTCCCTTTAAAATTGGTGATAAAATAATTTTTTCATCAAAAATTTTAAAATATTAAAATTATTGATAACAAAAATATATTCTTCATTAAATAGTTTTAAAACATTTAAAATCAAATTTTTTTATTAAAAAATATTTAAAATTATTGGTGACGAAAATATATTCTTCACTAATAATTTTAAGATAAATTACAAACACACTCCTTGAGATTTGTTTAAAATACATATTGCCCTTTGTGATTCTAAAAATTATATCCCGCCTCTTAAGATTTTTAATTTCATAACGAATAACCTCTTTTAATATCAAATTAATTAATAGTTTTTAATAATGTTAAAATTTTATTTCAAGTAATAATTCAGGTAATTTATTATTATGTTGGACAGCGGTTAAGAATTTTATTTTTTCACAAGAGGATATTTATAATTTTTCAAATCACAGGGAGTAATCCGTATTTTAAGTAAACCTCAGGAGGTGCATTTTTAATTTACTCATAATTTTATAATTGATGACAAATTTTTTTCTCACCAAAAGTCTCAAAATTTTGGTAGGATATTTATAATTTTTCAAACCACAGGGAGTAATCCGTATTTTAAGTAAACCTCAGGAGGTGCATTTTTAATTTACTCATAATTTTATAATTGATGACAAATTTTTTTCTCACCAAAAGTCTCAAAATTTTGGTGCCATCCAAAAAAATTAGAGAGAAAATCTTTAGTGACGAAATTTAATTTTTCCTCACATAAAAATAAGAATTTATTGACAAAAATAAATTTCTACACCTAATATTTTTACTTTTTTATTATATGTGACAAAATTTTATAATTCGTCACAGATTATCCTTATTTAGTGACGAAATTTATTTTCTTCACTATTTTTCGTCACCATAGGTTACTTAAAGAGCTAATTAACTTGTGTTTTGTTCAGAGAGAGAGACAGTAAAGAGCTAATTAACTTGTATTTTTCGTCACCATAGGTTACTTAAAGAGCTAATTAACTTGTATTTTTCGTCACCATAGGTTACTTAAAGAGCTAATTAACTTGTATTTTTCGTCACCATAGGTTACTTAAAGAGCTAATTAACTTGTATTTTTCGTCACCATAGGTTACTTAAAGAGCTAATTAACTTGTATTTTTCGTCACCATAGGTTACTTAAAGAGCTAATTAACTTGTATTTTTCGTCACCATAGGTTACTTAAAGAGCTAATTAACTTGTATTTTTCGTCACCATAGGTTACTTAAAGAGCTAATTAACTTTTTGTCACCTATTATTTTTATTTTTTTATTATATGTGACAAAATTTTATAATTCGTCATGAATTATTCTTATTTAGTGACGAAATTTATTTTCTTCACTATTTTTCGTCACCATAGATTACTTTTGTTGTAGTGAATAAATTGGACAATCAAAATCCAACACTACACCAAGCCTAACAACCATAATTGCCCATCCAACAATACATCAAGTCTAAACTTGAAAAAAATAATTATTTATAAACCCCATAATGAAAAAGAAATAAACACCATAAAAGATATTAAACTTCTTTTCATAAAAGTTGAATCCACACCCTCACACCACAAAGTAGTGCTATCAAAGGCCTTGGGGTTACTCAATCCCAAGGGATTGACCTAGTGGGTGTAGCTTGGGGCTTGGGGGTCTATTCCCTCCAAATCTCAAGTTCAACTCCCACTAGGTGCTATAAACTCCCTAGGGCTACGCCCGTGAGTTCTGCTTGAGATTTGTCTGATCCACGTGGAGGGGGCATTTTGGGTGGATCCCAAGATTAATTGAGGTGCACATAAAATGGCTTAGACACCTAATCATAAAAAAAAGGCCTCGGTTACTTGGGAGTTTCTATTTACACCACACTATTATACTCATCAAATTATAATATTCTTATTACAAATATACCATTAACCTTTAGTTGAATTACTTTTGAGTATATAATTTATGTTAATACTAAAAATAATTTATATACCTATCCTGTCAACCATTATCACCGCCCTTCTTTTGTGTCAGGCGTAGGGTACTTGAGGCTAGCGTGGGTTCTTTTGTGTATCAGTGTTTTAGGTGTGGGGCTCAAGATTTTGAATTGTTGTTTTATTTGTCTTTTTAAATATAAAATTGTGGGGTTTAGGGGTTGGTTGTAAAGACGTGAGTAGCAGTAGTAGGAGAGTGTTTTACTTTTCGAATCTCTCTCAATGCGTTCTTTTTTCCATGTACCTTTAAATTTCATATTTTTAATGAAATTTTTTCTTTGCCGATCAAAAAAAAAAAAATTATCACCGCCCTTCTCCTCCTATGCCCTACCATAACCCTTTCTCTTCCACGCGCCACCTCTACCATCACCGCTCTATCCTTTCTCATTCTCTCTACCTCTCTATATAACTCCAAACATCTCCAACGAAAAGAATTGTGATGGAGAAAGAAATTTTAACTTGGATTGGGTCATAACAAGATGGGCCAACGTAAGAAGTTCGAAGGAAAACACGTGACCCATGATGACGCAGTGGTATTGCTTTTTTCTTTGCCGATCAAAAAAAAAAAAATTATCACCGCCCTTCTCCTCCTATGCCCTACCATAACCCTTTCCCTTCCACGCGCCACCTCTACCATCACCGCTCTATCCTTTCTCATTCTCTCTACCTCTTTCCACGCGCCACCTCTACCATCACCGCTCTATCCTTTCTCATTCTCTCTACCTCTCTATATAACTCCAAACATCTCCAACGAAAAGAATTGTGATGGAGAAAGAAATTTTAACTTGGATTGGGTCATAACAAGATGGGCCAACGTAAGAAGTTCGAAGGAAAACACGTGACCCATGATGACGCAGTGGTATTGCGATTTAAGGGCTAGATATTGTCCTAGAGAAGACTTTTTGAGTCCACAAGAAAAACAAGCTTGAATCCACAAGCAATTAAGAAAACTTAAATTTTTATTGATGAAAATATTAGCCTGCGTTTGGTTGTGTTTTGTAAATGTGATTTGAGAATATGAGTTGTATTTTGAGTTTGTGGGTTGTAGAATTATGATTTGAGTGTAGAAAATTTGTTTGGTTATGATTTTTAAATAGAGTGTTGAATTGTGTTTTGAAGATGTATTTTGAATTAAGTTTTGAAAGTTTGATGTGACATGTGAAAGGTGAAAATTTGTTTGGTGATATGTTTTTAAAATAGTTTTCAAAACTTAATTCAGCCAATAATTTATCATCAAACACACAACTCATATATCGATATCCATATTTTTTTATCAACAATAATAACCAAACTATTTTTAAAATACTGAAATTAAAAATTGATTTTTTTTGTCAATTAATTTTTTATTTTGTAATTTTTTTGAATAATTATTTTTTCGAAATAATTTTTTCATTTTAAAATAAACATATGTCAATCATTTTCTGCCAATTAATTTTTATATCAATTCATTTGTAAAATATGTTTTTAATTTTTTTCTAACATTTTGTTAAAGTCAACAACTTTTGAAAATACATATTAATAAAGAAGGAATAAATACACTAAATTTAATATTTTAAAATACAAATCATAACGTAAATCTTACAAAACAGTATCAATTTTTTTTTTCCATTTATTACTGTAGACACCCCATTTTTTACCGACCTTAAGACTCAGACGTCACCAGTTGAGCACTTGGTGATATTGCATAATGTGCTTGTTCAGAAGTTTCAGAGTCGCGGCCGTGAGCCCTGCCTCCGGGCTTCTGAACCCTTTTCTGTGCCTTGTCCCGGTTTGCGAACCAGAAAATACAAATCATAACGTAAATCTTACAAAACAATATCAATTTTTTTTTCTTCCATTTATTACATGTTATGAATTTCGTCCATATGTGGCAACAGAAATGCAATGCATTATTCTACTCGTTGAGCTCATATAATTGTGGGATTGACGTACAAAATGACTATTATGCCCCTCTAGACTTAAATGGAAAGTGATTACATAGAACAAAATATGAAGGGTAAGATAATAATTTCACTTACTTATTACCTACCCCCTATTGTTTCATAGCTGTGTGTTCAACACTGAGGTAAAGAAAAAGGAGAGGCTGCAGCTGTGTACTCAATACACGGATGTGATATATATATAAAAAAAGTAATAATATTAAAATCAAATAATATTTAACAAATAAAAAGTAAATAAAAAAAAATTCCAAACTGAACCTTTTGAACCCCACTCTTTCTATTAAATCTGAATCTCATTCTGTTTACCACACCAACTTCACCATCTCAGAAACACCTTCTCCAGTTACATCAGAAAACAAAAATTAGAGAAATAGAAGCATATCCACCATCTCATTAGGTCCTCCTTCTCCACTTCCATAATTTACAGGTTAGTTTTGATGCCAGTTCATCTTCATATTAGCTTCAGACATTAGCTTCAGGTCATCTTCATATTAGCTTCAGACATTAGCTTCAGAGGGAGTGAGGGAGGGAAGAGGAGGACAACCGGCCGGTCAGAAAATATAACAGATGAAAATGGAACAGATATGAAACAAACCCAATATAAATGAGAAATATCATTCTCTATGGGTTTTTTTTTTTTTTTTTTTTTTTTTTTTTTTTTTTTTTTTTTTTTTTTTTAAATCTGTTTCTATGGCATCTGCCTAATTAAATTTTGTCACCAAATTTTTTTATATTTATTTTTTACATAAAAATAAGTTTGTATGCACAAAAATGTACTAATGGTTGATATATTTTTCATACATATTTTTTACCTCTCATATGTTTTAATATACAGTTTTCTTTCACTTTTGCAGTCATCATGTCAAGAACAATCATGCCAAGAACAAAACGAACCAGGCTTGAACTTGGTGAATCCTCAAACCCTGTACCACCACCACAGCAACAACATGATGGCTATCCAACTAATGATTTTGCAAC